GCAAGGGAGTTCTGAAAATGTTTGAAAAGGTGATAGTCGGTTGGCGAAAGGTCTGGAGAATATGGCGGTGAGGTAGAACTTCAACCCCCAATTCGTTCAATTTATGGATAGTGATTTGTGAAACGTGTGGGCGGGCGTTGTCATGCAAAAGAATCGGACCCTTTCTTTTGATAAGTGTTGGCTGCATCTGACAAAATTTTCGGTACAATTCGTCGATTTCTTCACAGTAGGGTTCTGCTGTGATGGTTTGGCCTGGTGATAAAAAGTTATAGTGGATCACACCAGCCGATGACCACCAAGCCGTGACCAGAATCTTTTTTCGTGAGGGTTCGGCTTTGAAAATTACCTCGGTGGTTCGTCGAAATCCAACCACTGTCCGGAACGTCTCCTGTTATCATACATGACCCATTTTTCATCACAGGTGACAATTCGGCCCAAAAACAGGTCGTTTCTGCTGCGCAAAAGCAATGCAGAAGGAACCTCGAGACGTGCCGATTCCTGCCGGTCACTCCGATTGTGGGGCACCCAATTGTCGAGTTTTTTCACCTTCCCAATGCGTTCCAGACCATCTGCAACAGTGGATTTGCCAACGCCTAGCTCTTCTGCTATCTCTCGAACTGTTTGGGATAAGCGAACTGTAAGCGCCTGACTGCGACACCTGCGCTCTTCTTGAGCAGGGCAAAAAAGTGTAAGGGACTGTAGCTGTAGCTAGCCAGCTGTGAACGCTTCTATAAAGAGGATGACATGGCTCCTTCCCGCACTTAATCCAGTCTACATTCATTTACAGCTCTCATTTCAATTCGTACATTTGCTTTGATTCCTTTTGATTAACTGATTGAATCATTCTAATTCATTTTATTGATTTCATGTATTATTGCCGGGTCGATTGTGGTAGTAGTTATTAGTAACTTTGTTTAATTACCCAAGTTTGAGGATTCCCAATAAACTGCGTAGTCAAGACGATCAGTACAAGACAAGAACGCGTGGCAGGGGAACAAATTTTAAATGACACTTTTTATAAACAAACGGCTAATGTAGGAGCCACACCAATATGGCCCGTTTGTGGTAGTTGATTCTTTGGGCCATTGTTGATGATAGCAGCGGGCTAAGGAATGCACTTCTTCTTTGTAATGAGAATAGGGTGGAATCCCCTGAACGTCAATCAGAAACTTCTCTTCGGCAACCGTTCCCCCAGGTGGAATGCCAAGAGAAAACGTCGACAAGACCCCGCAGCGTTAAGCTTTGTGGAGTATGCTTTCACATCTCTTCACGGGAAAAAAGTAGGTGTAGATTGGCGAAATGAACGTTCGACGTCAAAATTCAGGTGCACGTATGCAGTCTTACTCAGAGTTCGAATTTTTGAACTCGCTGAAAGGACGGTCCGCGATCAGGTATAGAAGCTGAAAATGTAGCGTCGGGAGGGTAGTATGTTCCGCGACGAACAAACTTGTACCCGTTTTCGCGGCAAAAATTCCAAAAGAAAGGCGCTATAGCGCCGTATAGCGTTCAGTGCGTCCCCTTTTTCCAGTGAGTCCGCCTCCAGGCTCTCCATTTAGGCCGGCGCCTTGTCCAGTGAAAACGAAGCTGCAGGACAAAAAGGATGGAATCGTCACTTGTATGGCCATAGAGTTCTTATGGGGGACTCAGCTGTGCAGATGAGGGCGTAATGTTGGCGGTGGAGTTACTTGGGCACGTGCAAAGGGGGATCGGGATAGGGTTCTATCTAGGGCAAGTTTGGCATGTTTTTTCGGCTTTTTTTTCATCACTATCGAGTTTACTCGCAGCACCTTCATCGTCTAACTAATGCAAAGCGGCTATGGCGCCGGGGCCCCCAAATCCGCTATCTCTAATGGCCACAGGCTTTACCTTCGACTCAACCAAGCCTTCTATTCCTTCATTCTTCGTAATTGGTGCTAGGCTGCCCAAAAGGATTACAGTCAAGAATGCAACTGCGACCCTGAATGAAAATGAGATTACTTGAATGAGAAAACTGCATGGCCCATCTCAAGAGATTAACCAACAGTATACGATTTTGTATCGCTTTCATAGCAAACCATCTGGCGCTTCACTGCTTCACCCTATCTTATAAAAAAATCTGAGGATGAGCCTAATAGAGCGCAGATGCTAGCCGCCCAGTACAGTATGGTCCTAATTTCATTCTTCCTCCACGATCTCGAGTGTACCTATATGACACGAATAGAGCAATAGCAGTATAGTTTCAGTTAAAGTGGATAAAGGACTTTCGTAAGATCATATACTAAATTCGGTCTATTGAATCCGGATTTTTTTGGAGTAAGGGCGTCGTATGATAGCTATTGCTAAATCAAAGCATAGGTACAGGCCATATCGGGAGGCAAAATAGGGCATTTCCCAGGCATATAGTTACAAAATTGGCTGCGACTGCGTTTTCTCGAGCAGAAATTGTACTTGAAGCTCATAGCCAGTTTAAGGCACCCCCGTGCGTGAAATGATCAGCCCGGGTCGTATGTTTGGTTGGTGAGGCAGAGATTCTATTTGCTTTCGACAGAAATGGTAGCAGGCTGGGAAAATCGAAGAAGTTCTGTAGGTGTGACAAGGAAGAGAAATCGTAGTACCGGAGGAAATTTTGATGAGACTTCGCATCTTGCAGAAGTTTCCCCAAAAAGAGGGCATGCTCTAATCCATATAGGGCTATTTAGGCATTGTGAAGAGCCTGAAAACGCTTGGCAGTTTCTGCGGGCCTTCGCTGAAGCTTCCGACCCACCCTATCTTGCTCCAATAAGATCGCTGATCGGTGTTATACATAACACGGCTGAAGAAGATAAGGTAGAAATTTTTATCACTTCTGTTCTCATTCATAATAAGGCTCAACAATATCAAATCGCCACGCTTGTGAAAAATTGATTACATGTTTGAAATAGACAAAATAGAGAAAACAGAAAATTTGTACATAAATCTTGTTGATCAATGGTTCAGGGGCTCTCCCGCTGTTGTAGTAGAAGTCGTCCGGAAAAGAAGAGTATCGCCGCCAGAGCTCCAATGCATATCGTTGCGACACCACTACCTTGCAATCCCGATAAAAAGTTTTTCCATATTATTTGCTGGGATCATGCAAGCTAACAGGATCACTTGACAAACATGAAGATCAGGATTATTTAATGAGCCTTATAAAAAGAGAAATATCATACCTATTTGTGACTTGTAGCATCTCAGTGCTGGCAAGGGACTTTGCGCACTAGCTTTTCGGCCAGCAGGAGCTGTATGTGCCAATGTAGTAACTGTGGCGGGCCACTCTGAAGGTGCGGGAGCGTAGATTGAAGAAGCATTGAGACTCAGTAAGCCCAGCTGCGATTTCCATTCCTTGTGACCGGTTTCACCAGAGACCTACGAGGGCCACTTACAGCTTTATCTAATTCTGATTGGAAATTTTTACACCAAATTCAACAACACATTGTACGCTATCACGAAACTCCGCCACAGTCTCGGACGAACGTCTGAGGGATTTTGCCACGCGACCGGGATTCAGTGCCTCAGTTCAGCGAAGTCGTTGATTTCTCTCGCCGCTGCAGACGCACACTTGGGATATTCCGTCTTCTTCAGGTTCTCAACGCCCTTCGATTCCATGTGCTGGCATCCCTTCCTGTAGCAGTACGAAGTTTCCAAGATGGTAAATGTGACGTCATGAAGGCAGGAAATTCTTCTCCTCAACTGTTGGATGTAACAGTCAGCGTTCAGTTTCAGTCCAGGGTCCACGAAGAAAATATTGGTCTTCACATTCAAGGAACTTCCGGGCCATACCATAAACCGGCGCCTTTTTTGGACGACTGGCGATGCAAGACTAATATCGCTGGACCCGCAGCGACTCGATGTTGGAGGTCTCCCAGATAAAGAGTGTCAGTCTCCAAGTAGATGTCGATGGGTGACTTCAAGACAGAAGCCGTTTGGAGGTGACGTGACTCCATAGGGTTTCTCCAGTCAAGCTGCGGCTGGATGGCTTCATATTTTGGTGCACGTGAAGGTGGTTGACGAGAACCTGCTCCTGCTTATCGAGGAACATCTTGGGTATCTTCCGCCTTGGTACTGGTATCCATGTCTTCTGTCTGCGTATTCTTTAATGATGTGTGCGTCGGCAAAGTGTCTTTTTTTGCACGACCCCCCCCCTGGCGATTCTCAGTGGAACCTCAAATGCGTGTCACTCGCTGAATGGGAATCAACTGTGGTGCTCCAAATGCGTCAATGAACCATAAAAAAGCCGGCAAGTCTCCGGAGCCATGCCTCCGCCGCAGTGAGGACGCCTGATTTCACAGCAATAGAATGAGGTGAATATTGGAAGAAAAAAGAAGATTAAGATAAATTCAGCTAGAACATTGGAATCGGAAAGATTTCAAAGTTGTTACTCACACTGCCCATGTCTCAAAATGGAAGCAGCACTGGTACGGATTGTCGTCACAGCAGGCGTAGTAATGAAGAAAAGAGTCTCGCGGGCAGCTGCAAAATTATCATTTATTTATTGTTTATTTGCCTTGATCCGTCAATTGGACTCTGCACTCCTCAACATTCCGCCAAAACTAAATTTCCAGCAGTCTCGCCAAATAAGGAAGTATTCTGCGATAGGTGACGGAAATTGCGTAGGTACAGTCCTCATCATTGCGGACCGGTGGGGCGTGTCAGCCAGTATGAGTGTGCACACTGTTGAAGCCGTTCTCAGCCTTTTTGTTGAAACGCGTATGCGACAAAAAGTGGTAGAAAACGAGTAATACGAAGGATATAATACAGTAATGTCACTTGCCCGCTTCAACAACTGGTGCAGAACGACTTTGGCACCGCGCCAAACGCAGCCGCACTGACACCGCCACCGGTTCGCGATGATGAGGACTTGTAACTGCTTCGTAGGAAGTTGAAAAAAAAGAAGAATGATTCGTACAAATTGTCCGTGCTCAGTTGACGCTACCCCTGAAAAGAATGGCACAAGAACGCATCCAACCCGTGCACTATAAGGCCCTCCTTGGGTGGTAGATTCATTGTGAATTTTGCTGTATTATTAGACAAGGGACGGCAGAGTGTAAACAGTGTTGCACCTCAAACCTCATATTATGTTAGGTGTTTTTGACGCAATTCTGAGAAAAGCTATCCATTGCAACCTGTTTTTCCTCAAACATGACCACGATTTACAAGTAATCGCGAAATGGTCTCCAAAAAATGAAGGGAAGCTGTTCAAAATGCTACGGATACGGCCATTCTGCATGTGAATATTGGCACTAACTATAAATGAACGTACTTGGAATGGCACTGAGAACACGGTCTTGGGACAAAAAGTTGAAGGGCAAGAGAGAGCCCCAGACTAGGCGAGACCACTTTTCTCTTGTGTACGGTCGTTATTATTGAATTCCAGTAGAGATCGTGTCGGCGCTTCGATTTTTAGCGCAGCTCTTAGGCCTCTTTTCTCACACAGACACGCGGCAGACTGCCTTAAAGTGAGCGACGACTGTACTTGCAAGCGTGATGTTTTTGCCCTTTAAAGAGCGTGGATAGCCTATAGAACTCTAAGTCACAGCATCAATGACTAGTTCGCGTCTGGATTAATTGGTTGTGTCATCGTCTGAATATTTTGATAATTTTTTTGTGTTCTGTGAGAATTCTTAGTGGTCCAATGTTGTCAGTTACTCAAAAGCTGTTCCCTGGCCGGAGTTTGATCAATTTTCATCTTTTCGCAATAATAACCTTCATTGCAGGAGAATGTAAAACCTGTGAGCAAATGAAAGTGAACAGAGATATGTCTTAAATTCCATGAGGTCTACTTTTTACTCACTTGCTATCATCAACTAGTAGCTTTTGCAGTCTGAAATAAAGAGGAAACGTGATTAGTATTAATTAGCCACTTAGCAAAAAAGAGCACAGAATATGTCAGTTGTATGATATCCTACAGATGTCAGTCGACATTCATGTTAGGGGTGTATCTTTTCATACAAGAACGCAATAAAATTTTTGGCATAGCAAACGTAATCGGCTTGGATGGATTATACCCTAAGTAGACCCGTCTACTGTCCAATATTTCAGCCCTTTAGTCATATTTTTTTCGAGAAGGTGATATGTGGTTGTGGGACAGAAGCGATCCTACTGTACTAGATGTCATCGCGGCTTGAGACGTATATAGCCTTGCCGCATCTTTTCAAACCCTTGGAATGAATGCGCCTTATCAGTTTTCTATTCGAAGTTGCTCTCGTCTCGCAGAGAACGAAGGCAAGGCAGGCATGACGTCGCAAGGAGCGCGACTACGAGAGCGGCGAAGGACGAAAGAAAGGGCAGAGTTGAGAGTCGTGACAGGACGCAGCCATCACCGAGATACTCCTTAGTCTTCAATGTGGAGTGTACCTTGCTCAAAATGTTTATGAGCTAACAGCGAAGGAAATAGAAAGAATCGTTGCTATTTTGATTCGAGGATCAGAACTTGAATGAGTTCCGATCAGACCAATCAAGCACTCGTCCAACTGAGGCGGATGAACTAGAAGTGACCCGTCGGTGAAGGTAAAAGCACGGACTCGACTGCTGGAGCAGCGCACGGGTCATTGCGCGCTATAGATACGCCCCAATGATCTTATTTGGAGCAGGAACCATGGATTGATCAGCTCAAAAAATACGAGTTCATCCTTGTACTCAAAGGCACTATAAATCTTCCAAGATGTGTAGGATTAATACGCCTGGCCGGAATTCAGCAACCCTGAGCTGGAGCTGCATAATGCCTTTTCCAAGGGAGGTGCCGCTTATATAGGTCCTATCAAACAAGCAGATAACCGAACCCGAACGCCCCCGCCCGCCCACAAATGGACGACCGTTCCTGACGCTCGTATTCATTCATTTGCTAAGCAAATTATGAAGCGAAGGGATTGGTATGAAGCGGCCGTGATGCTGCATGCATATATGGGTGCACATATGCAGCCGTATACTCGGCAATGGTTATGTTGGCAAGATGCCTACAGAAAACTCGTCCAAAAACTGATTCTCTAGCCGAGGCTCTTTTCGCAAGGGTTTTTGAACCGTTTCACTCCGTTCTTTCGCCATTTCCCCGCTATATAACGCCCTACTAGCATTTTAGGCCGAGTACCAAATCATCATGAAAACTGCCTTTAAAGTGGACTGTTCGAACATAAGCTACCAACAGTTATCAAAAGTTACATCAATAGTTAAGAACTTACGTTTCTCCGAGCCTGAAGTCGAGGGCTGGCAATGGTCCATAGGGAGCAAACGGGCAAGACCATATACCGAAGCGTTGCTACAACGTCTTAGCTGGCTGTTAACAAGCTAGCAAGAGAATCATGACAATGGTTCTAGAGCAATTACAATAGACGCCTAAATTGCTTCCTTGCACAGAAAGGGATTATTATACGGATTACTGATGACAAAAACGCCCTTTCAATAATGAGTCAATTAACTAAGTTCACAAGGCAGACGAGGATATTCCCGGGGTTTGCCATATCATCAGACTATTCAGAATGGACAAAACAATCCTTGTTGATAAACGTCTGGTCCTCTGCATGTCACTGTGAAAGGACCAACACATCATTCAAATGTCTGCTATAATCACTGCTGAGAAAGAGGCCGAAGGGAACGGGCGAGTCCTTAAAGAGTTTGCTGGCGTGCAAGAATCTTCACAATTTATCATGTCACCAGTCGGATCGCCCGGCTGACGCCGAGCTCTCCTCCTTCTCTTTAGCTCGGCTTCGCCGAGCTGAAGAGAAGGAGGAAACTGAAAAAAACTAAAAAAAAACTGGAACTGCACCTGAATCCCTACCTAATAACTCTTCCCTTTTCAATCACCGTGCAACCCTTTTGCTGAAGTACAAATAGTTGTATCATGCAGGTATCATGCTCCCTTATTACTCGTCCTATTGAACGCATAAAGCCTGCCTCAATCCTCATTATGTAAATTTTCGGTTTTCTCCCAATTTCCTGACTTTCCTGTTTCACTCGAACTATATACCCCCCCCCCCCCCGCTCGTCGACATCGACATTGCATAATAGGATAGTGGGATGAGTTCATTTTCTATTGTAATCAGAGAAGTGATGGCTGAACGAAAATTTTGCACATTGAACCTTCAATACTTGGCATTGTAGTGGTAAGAGATGTAATGGGAATGACCCCTTATCATAACCTATCAATTGATAAGATTGCCTGTCGCCCATCATCAATTTCCTATCACTAAAACTCTATAATTTGGTAGTGTCAAAGCCCGAACACTTTGACTGAACAACAACGGCAACTTTCCTTATCAGCCCCTATCAGCTGTTATCACCTCCTGTCACCCGCCGTCGATGTTCTTATCTCCCACTCTATACAAATTTCAAATCAACGCCTAGCTGATGCTGTGTCCTGTGTTATGACTGCTGACCTTCCCTTTCTATCTCTCCTGCCTGATAATCTTTATCCCTCCTGTAGTTCTTGTCACCGACCAATAATGTTCCTGTGCCATACCCTATATCATACCTTGGAATCAACGAACCACAGTTGCTGTGACCCGCATTATGAGCATGTTGACCATAACATTCTGAGGCCCCTTATCGAATCTTATCAGCTGCTAAAAGTTCTAGTAACCCACAAATAATCTTACTGTCTCATTCTCTACATCATATCTCGGAACTAAAGTCCCATTGCTGCTGTGACCTGCACTATAGACTGGGTGACCGTACCCTTTGGACGCCCCTTATCGGATCTTATCAGCTGATAACACTTCCTACAACCCACAAATGATGTTCCTATCACACCCCCCCCTCCATCACTTCTTGGAACCAAAGTCTCACTGTTACTGGGACAGGTGTTATGAATTTCGTGACACACACACACACAAACACACGCAACACACACACACACACATACAGCGGATTATATATAGTAGGATAACAGTGTCTAATCCCCTATAGTCGCAGGTAGCACTAGACTGCAGTAACTAGTTAACAAGTACTAAATGGTCCTTATCAGCCTGCGCTGTTTGGCGCGGTGGACAGGGGCTGTGATTTGAGGTGGAAGCAGTCCGTTCGACATCAAGTGCTGTCGTTTACCCCGCTTCAATAGACGGTGCACCATGCCAAACCCAGCCTCGCTGACACGGCCCCGGTTTCTGCAGCGAACAAAACCGCACAAGTTGGTTAACAAAGTTTTCTCTTTGATGAAACCCTTCATTCGCGCGCGCTAGGTGCAAGTATCCCGCCCTAGCGGCTGAAAGGTTTGTTTCGACCGCGCTGAGGCTCAACCGCAGTTTGATGATAACTAATCGACTCTGAAGGCGTGAAGGGTCAGCTGGTACCGGATTCAATCGAAAATTTGATTCCTGAAGCGTGTGCGGGTGAAGTGGTTGTAACTTCCACTGCAGCAAGTTGACCGCCCATGTTCATGGCGAAACGAGGGCTTGTCCCCCCCAAGAACATCCCCAAAACCGCAAGCGTCATGTGCGAGTTTTTAGCAGAGTAAGGAAAATTTCAAGTGTGGCGAAGAATAGGAAAGCGACACTTGTGAGCAATTTCCTTCTGAATACCTCGAGAAAATGAGAAAAAAAAGAAGAAATCGTGACGCGCATAACAAAGCTAATAATACAGAGCCTCACAGAAAATTTGATTTTGAGTTTGAGGCGGACTTCAGGGGTAAGCTGAGTGCGGATTGATTAGGACATTGAATAGAGGCAGTAGGCATATGCATGTGGTCTCTGACAGGATTTCGATGGCGCAACAGCGGTAACGGTGCGATTATGATGGCGATTACCCAGAGTGAACAGGTCCTATGCCACCAGTTTCCTACGCTTGAATGGCAAAAAACCCACCAAATTGGAATCGGGATTGACCAAAACCTTTCCTACGCGGAACTTTCCACCTGCGGATTTCGTGTGTGCGTTCTTGGAGTTTCTTCAGAGTAGACCTTTCACCTAAGTCGGAGGCATACCACACTATCAATGGTTAAAGAATAAAGGGCGTTCTGGAATGCGTCTTTTGCGCTCAAAATCATTCTAACCTTGGGAACTGACCTATTAATTGATGCAATTGATGAACTAGTAAGAGTTATCTTCGGAAAAGTCACTACTAATGCAGGAATACAAGTTCAAAAAAACGGGCGGAATGCAGTACCCCCCTAAAATTGCAGCGAAATTGAATGTGTCGTGTTCACTAATGTACAGGATTGGGCATACCGTAAGCCGGTATAGCCACCCAGTTTATCAGCCTGTAATATAAGCCTTTTGGGCGGCTGTTTAGCGACGGGGGGGGGGGCATTTTCTACATAAAGATTCATACATCCTACATTTTCTAACTTTTCTAACTTCTTCCCCTGCTTCCGGTTTACGAATCTCACCATGGTAAAACCTGTGAAGCTGGAGTAAGATCGTCTAGCCACCATCCTAAAACGTGTCAACTCGAGAAAAGGCTACCTAGATGGGTCGGCACATCTATGAAAAGCCGAATGCCCCCCCCCGCCCCCCCCAGTCGACAAACTGCGCCAGCGCTTTTTGCAACAATCAAGAGCGACGCCAATTGTTCGCACCCGACCAGTAGCTTCCTGAACTTGAGTTGGTACATCATTAAAGACTTGTCCGGTGCATGTTTTATTTATTCGTGTTTTTTTTATGAAGGCAGGCGACATTGGTCAAGTGATGGCAACCCCACCAAGTAGAAAGCCATTAAGAGCATAACACTGAGTTTGAGTTACATAGGACAAGATACTTTTCAACAATAAATTATGAAAATAGCAAGCACAATTGAAGTTGATCAGTCCCTAATCAGAGCATATGAGCGAATGGTGGTGTAGTGACAAGTGGCGCGCTTACCACTCGCGCGGCGCCGGGTTCAATCCCGGGTCGACTCCCGCCCAGGCCAACCAAGCCTTCTACCCTCCGGGGACGGTAAATTGGTACCAGATTCGTCTGGGAGGATAAAACACTGACTTGTACATCGGCTGGCCACCGCAAGTCATTGTATAGGCCACATCGGCATTCAGTTCGCGCACTAACTGACTCTGAATGGAAGTAGTATGCGTGTCGCATCCCACAAAGGGATTGGTCAACGGCGAAGACATTCACCCTTTACTGCCCCAGTCATCCGAAATAAGGCCAGCTCCTGACCGACTTTTTCTCCGTGGGCAGATTTTGCTCAAATGTTGTCTCCTGGGGTAGTTTGACCTCCAGATTAAGAATATCACGGCGCAGTTTTGTCGACGGGGGGGGGGGGGGGCATTTTGCACTTTCGCTACTTCCCATCGACGTGTCGGCCTATCTAGACAGCCTCTTCTCGAGTTGACAGGTTTAACATGATGGCTTGATTACCTTGTTCCAGCTTCACAAGAGTTCACAGGTTTCGCCAGAGTGAGACATGTAAACCGGAACTGAGGAAGCAATGATAGTGCAAAATGCCCTCCCCCCCCCCCCCGTCGACAAACAGCGCCGATCATCTACATTCGCGGTCAGGCCCAAAACTTGCCTGCGCACCGCGCCAACAGGCGCCAGATGAAGCAAGTTTTCAGCGAATTTGGTGATTTCGAGTATTTTGGCGCCGGCGCCCGTGGCGCGGGCGCCAGGAGGTTTTGGGTCAAGCGGATGCGATATTCAGTCGAGTTCGAAGCTACCCCTGGAGCCAAGTTTTCAGCAAATTCTGCCCACGGAGAAAAAAGTCGGTCAGGAACTGGCCTGATTTCGGATGGCTGGGGCAGTAAAGGGTAAATAGTGCCCCTTCCTCCTTTTCGTACCTTTACATCAGATGTTCAACATTTCTGCATTTAGTACCTGGTGGCTCTGCTAAGGCGCCCAAAAAGGAGCTTATGAGGAGCAACAAAATGGGCCTGGACAAAATCTATATACGGATTCGATATCTCATTACGCACACACTACTTTTTGCTGTGCCGCTTGCCCCTACACGTTTCACGTATTGGTAACCTTGAAAGGGATGACGTAGCAGAGCTGGTGACAGCCAGCAACGATAAAAATTTGCTAAAATAAGGGGACCGTTTACTTGGTAGAATGTCATGATGTGGTCGGCGATATGGTTTTCTTTGCTGCGGATGCTGGGCCGTGTCAGCTGAGATGGTTTAGTGCGATGCCACTCTGCTACACAGGCGCACGCTCTTCAAGGGTTTCAAGCAACAATAATTGGTAGAAATTGGACTGGCGCCGCCTCAAACCCAGCCTCTGGCACGCCCAAGCAACGGCAGCGAACAAGGGCTGGAATCATTCGCGAGAAAGGGCTAGATATCCTCACTTACGATTTCCGAATGGACTCGGCCCAAACATATGCAAACTCCAAGGAAAGCCGCTCTCTCCACACTAATGAGACTAGTACACCATCTCTAACCCAGAACGCCTAAGGACAGTAATATTGGCGGAAAATATTGAGAAAAAAAAAAAAGCAACTCCCACTGATCATATGAATAAACCGATATTTGAAATTTTTCGCGAAACCTAGTAGGTGTAATGCGTCTCCGCGCTGTTTGTCGACAGGGGGGGGCATTTGGTACCTATTAGTTTCCGGAGTTCTTAGCGTTTTGGGTGTTTAACTTTAAACGATCATAACTTTCTTAACACTCATCGGATTTAATCCAAATAAGCACCATTCGAATCAGCACACTTTTGCCAATGTGGCAGCAGTCGAGAAATCCCATCAAAGAAAACTGGGTGGTCGAGAATCCACGAAATCTGCGAAGGTCTTTTTTGCCTGGTCTTAATTGATGAAGTATTTTTCAGCAAGGAAGTTCTGAAAATGTCTGAAAAGGTGACAGTCGGTTGGTGAAAGGTCTAGAGAATATGGTGGGTGAGGTAGAACGGGTCAGCAGTCTTGAGGAAATAGCACGCAAATGTCAAGAGGCGCATGAAATTTTCCAAGATATGCATATGAACTTACGCGAGTTCTTATCTAACGGGCCATTGCAGCACCTACTAAACAGCAGTATTTACTCGAGCAGCCCAATACAAAAAGTCCTGGGTGTTGTATGGAATTCATCAGAGGATGTCATTTACCAGTCGTGTGTTTTTCCAACAACAGAAACCACTACGAAGCGCAACATAACTAAGCAAATAGCTTCAATTTACGATCCCTTAGGGTGGATGGTTCCTCTCATGGTCCGTGCGAAACATTTTCAGCAACAATTGTGGAAAAAAGGATGTGACTGGGACCAAAAGTTATCCGATGAGCAAAAACAACAATGGGATCGAATTGTTCTTGAATCGACCGGATTTGCGCGATCCTGCCCCAGATTCATTAATAATTCGTCCGATTGTAGCATAGTAGTGTTTTCAGATGCGAGCGAGATCGCGATGTGCGCTTGCGCCTATTTAGTAGCGAATAAATCGAGCACGCTACTGATGGCGAAATCTAAGCTGCCTTCCATAAAGTCAAAGATGACCATACCAAAAATGGAAATAAACGCGCTCACATTGGGAGCCCGACTAGCTTTGTCAGTACTGAAGTCCTTACAAGAAGTCATCACAATCAAAAATGTGGTGCTTTTTTCTGACTCCCAGATAGCACTAGCATGGATTCGTGCAGCCAAAAATGCGAACGATCTCGGCGTTTTCGTTACTAATAGAGTAAAGGAAATTGAATCGATTATGACAGCTATTAGCAGTTTAGGATCAAGGCCTCAGTTCAGTTACATTATGACGGATAAAAATCCTGCTGATGCAGGCACAAGAGGTTTATCAAAAGAACATTTGGTGAACCATATGTGGTGGACAGGTCCTCCGTTTTTGTCAATGCCATTCGAGCAGTGGGAGGTATCGCCTTTTGAAATTCCTCTTGGGGAGGTTTCAAGTGCAAATATACTGTCAAGTACCATGAACAGCAATGAATTCTTTCCCTGGGATCGTTACAGCACTTTCACGAAAGCACAGCGAGTCATGGCGTGGGTGCTCCGTTTCCTGAGAAAAACCATGCGACGAATGTCTAGAGACAGGTTGGAACGTATATGGGAGAATCTTCCAGAGTTGAGGGAATTGCGATCCACTCCCACTGGTACCATAAGTGGTTTAGACATGCGACAAGCGAAAGTAGCGCTCATTCGCTCCCATCAGAAAACCTGGTCCAACGAGTACGTTAAATCAATGGATAATACCCTCAAATTATACAAGGACGAGCAAGGTATTTGGCATGCGAGAGGCAGGTTAGGGCTTTCATCTCTAGATGACAACGTCAAATTCCCGATTTTTCTGGCGCCAAATTCAGGTATAGCACATGCCATCATAAGGCAAGCACATGGCAAATATCATTGCAGCATCCCGCAGACGATGTGTAACGTAAGGCAGGAATACTGGATTCCTCGCTTACGGCAACAGGTACGAAAAATGATAAGCCATTGTACACCATGCAGACGATTCAATGGGTCTCCCTACAAATACCCACCAATGCCAGACCTACCATTGCGACGAGTACAAGAATGTCATCCATTTCAGCATATTGGCTTAGATTTTTTTGACTTACCGGAAGTTCAAGACCAACAGGTTACATGCAAAGCATATGGATGTATTTTCACTTGTGCTGTGACTCGTCTGATTCACATTGAAGTTGTTCGTAGTATGAATACCGAAGCCTTCATAAATGCGCTTCGTCGATTTTTCGCTCGGAGGGGTGTGCCCGAATCTATAACATGCGACAATGCCCCAACTTTCTTATTGAGCGCAGGAATACTAAGAAGTGCTTGCGAAATGGCAGATCTGGAATCGTGGGTACCCATCATTCCCAATCAGGCTATCGAGTGGAGATACATTACCCCCTACTCACCTTGGCAAGGAGGGTTTTACGAGCGACTAATTCAGTCAATAAAACACTCCCTTTATAAAGCTATAGGACGGGCGAAATTAACCGTTGATGAACTTCAAACAGTTATAACAGAAATCGAAGGTAGCCTCAATTGTCGACCTCTCACTTATCAAGAATCGGATCTCCAAAATATAGTGCCGCTTCGCCCTATCGATTTTATACAGAAGGGTATTGTTATTACATATCCATTTGAGAACATTTCTACAGATGAAAACGATCCAGATTTTGAACCATCAACGATATCAGCAGCGCTGAGAACTAGACATGAAGCAGAGCAAGCTTTGCGTTCCTCAGTCGCTGCTACCCAACGGTTTTGGAAAGTCTGGAAAGACCATTATTTGGTGAGTTTGCGAGAACAGCATAGGAAGTGGATCGCCTCCACCAAAGGTTGTACGTCTCTCCCTCGTAAGAATGCGATTGTCCTTGTTACGGACCCGCTTCTCCCAAGAAATTTATGGAAGATGGCGCGCATAACAGACGTAAAAGTTGGTAAAGATGGCGCGATCCGCGAAGTAGAACTGCTTACAAGTTCCGGCAGGAAGATGAAAAGACCAATTAATATGATCGTTCCTTTAGAGTTGGAGCACGAAGCAGACGAAGCAGAGGAACAAAGACTTCCCGATCAAGCTCAAGAGGACGCCACCGCTCAAGGACGATCTTCGTACAACCTGCGCCCAAGGAAGCAAGTACGCTTCAATTTTTAAAGATGACATTCTTGAAACTAGTTTCGAGTTTGATTATATGCGCTGTTGCACAACCGGGAGCTTCTGCTCCCG